CCTCACACTCGAAATTAAATGCGTTCTGTTCATTATCAATGTATGGCCGCCAAAAAATATGTTCACAACAGCAGGAGCAAAGAGACACACAAAGAGACGGAGAGAGGTAGAACGGGCGACAGTGAGTGTGCGACTGTGTGTAATGTGCGCGCGCTTTTATTTAAATTTGTTTTGAAACGGTGCTAAATAGTATGGACATCATCGTTGGTTATTTAAAACATGTTTTTTCTCATTACAAAAATCAATCGCTCACACTAAATATTTATTTGAGCAGTTAATTTGCAAAATTCCGTAATACGCATTCCGACTCGACTGGTTGGTTGACTGAGTGTTGACGCGAATAATTTTTTTGGTGTATTTTTTGCTGATCCTGCTGTTAGCGAGAGAGACACATACGCAGGGCTAATGACGATGATGAGCACGGCATAACGTTGTACAAATTAAGCGCGGTCATGGTAAAAACAGACTGAATATTGTTTGTGTATGTTTTTTTTCTCATTCGCTTGCTCGTTTGTTCATTTTCAATGAGCACATTTTACATAATATTGATTGATATTTGCACAATGAGCATGATTTTGTACTGACAGAGATAATTTGTTGAGTGCGTTAAACTTTCGTCCGGTCAATTTCAATAACGTCAATATGTTTTCAAACCGAATTTCGATTAGCTGCTGTTCGCACAGCTCGAGTCAGTTTTATCGAGCAAATGGAAAACGAGAAGAAGAAGCTGAAGCTGAAGCTGAAGAACGTGAGGAAAAAATAAATAATGCAAAACACGAACGAAAAATAGCACAGCATACAGTCGACGTCCTCGACGATGGCTGTCGAACAGTTAAATGCAGTTTGAAGAATTGCAATCTCGACGAAATGGAAACATTCGTTGCTTCGGGTGTTAGAATTCCATGCAAGAGCAAGACTGAGTTTCGTACGGCAAAAAAAAATCCATCGGAAGCCAATCGGACACAGCAAAGAAATGTATGTATATAGTACAGAAATCAAATGTGAAATGCAAATAGAGAAAAAAAACAGCGCGCATCACAAAATAAACATACAGTGAACTGAAGACTCAGCGAATAATGTGAACAAGCTTACGACTTTGGTTATGGTCCGTGTTGCGATTCATTGCAAATTAATCTTTATTAAAGCGCAATAACAAATGCACTTAACAATTGCAATGAAAGGTATGCTAGCCAATAAATTTCCCGAAGAGAGAAAAACTGTCAGAATCGTTGACTTTTTACAGCTCCTTGCACGGCTCCTTCCTTTCTCTTTCCCTTTTCTCTCACTCTCTTATTTCACGGTTCGATGAACATGTTTTATCTATTAAAATCTCGTTTGAACTAACAAAATATTTCCGTTCGCATTCCCTTCGGTGACAAGGAAAGAATGGAACGCAGAAAAAAGTGCACCCTTGGCATAAATATCCGTTTTGACAAATCCCTTGAAGTGCGCTTACAAAGCTTCTTCCGGAGCGAACATTTTCAACAGAGAAAAAAAGAGAAAATGACATCAAATTCACTGAAGATCCTGGAAATGATTTCATTTTTCATTTCGTTTCATATATGACAACGAAGGAACGAACGAACGGAAAAAAAATTGATAAATTTTAATATTGTATCAGAAAATTGCCGGAAACTGACATACGGTCAATTGGACCGATGTTCACATTTTCTGCGAACCACAATAAATCTGTCTGATGCAGAGGAAAAAGGAAACTTTAAATTGTATATTTAAAAGTATTCGTTGTCGTCGTTGTCGTCGTCGTCGTAGTCCGTAATCTCTTTGGTTCAGGATAGCAGATGTTGTTACAGTAATTCGATGTGTAACCAGAACCGGCGAATGCAAGAAAAAAACTGCACAATAACAAAAATAGTGCGGTGAAACCACATACGGTATGCAGAAATTCAACCAGGATAAAAGCCTGTATCTTATAAATCAATATGCAATCGATCGAAACATATTTTTGTCCAAATGAATCGATTAAAAGTTGCCTTTGGAATTTTTTTGGCCAGAAAAATAGTAATTATTTCGTATTGTGGCCGCAATAATTCTTTTATTGTTATCCAAACAAACAACAGCAGCAACAAAAAAAACAAAAGGAACAAAAAGGCAACAACACAGAAACATGTGATGCACGCGGTCACCGATTTTTGGCCAAATGCGAAAAACCCCTTTAACAATGTGCCAGATATCCATTCAACCAAATTATTGATCAGCCGCGCATCAGGCGCTTGCATCTGCCTCTGTAACCGTCTACACCTGTCGTCATTTTGCGTCCACTCATACTCATTCACTCGCATCTCTCTCGTTCATCGATTCTTGGCCTTTCAATATTATATTGTTAATATCATTTTTGCAAACATGTTGCAAAACCCGACGAAGAAGAAGAAAAAAAAACACATTTGTTCCGTGCTTATTACTCTTTCTTTGCGTGGTTTCCTTTTGTGAGCGAATAAAAAGAAAACAACACCACCAGACATTTAAATTACCATTAGGCTTCTGCGCCCAAGTCATGACTGTGCATTTGGACACTGGATTCGCCTTTCGTACGTTTTAAATAAGCAAAATTGTCCAATTACGGTGAAGAGAAAAAAAAAGTATATATGCCCCGATGCGATCAATATGCGGTTGTTTTGTTTCTGCATAACATTTTTGTTGTAATTATTGTTATTATTGTTGCTGTTGTTGTTGCTGCTGTTGTTTGCTTTATAGAAATGGTTAGAAAAAAAAAATGGCTTAAACCAAAATGCTTCATGTAAACGAATGAATGAACGAACGAACGAACGAACGGGCGACATGACATGAACCACGAAATAAGCAAATAGATGTAAGAGAAACGAACATTTTCATATCACATCCGAAGACACTGGTTTTCTCTCGCGCGCGAGCACATTCGCGCACACACGCACTCTTGCGCTCATGAAGTAGTCATAAATATGACGAAAGAGCAAGAGATGCAGTAATTTTATGCGCATTCGCATTGAACATGAAATTCTGCACTTAATTGAAATAGCATATACGTATCTTCTAATTTGTTAGTCTCACTTTTAGCACATTATGCAATGCGAATATGGTTGCCATTTGGATGCCATGGTCGTTAAGAAGTTTTTAGAAGAGGCAAAAGAAAAAAAATAAAGCCGATGATTAAAAACTTCCGCTGAAAACGTGCTGACTGGCTTGAGATGAGGCTATGCATTTCAAAATGAGAGTGCATTAAAAATCGGCAACAAACAAAGCGCGGCTCCCACAGAAAAAAAAATCAACAACAACACAACACACACATATATGACGGCTGAAGAAAAACACGGCGCGCAACTCTTCAAATGATACAACATATGGATATTATTACGAGGTTGTGTAATGTTGTTTGATGTGCACAAACACTGTCGTGTGCATCGACAATTAACTTCATCGAATTCACACATCGGCGCTGCATGCACCACCGTACACACTTTTCGGCGCATATAAACAAAGCAGGGCGCATTGAGACACACTCAATCATACTCACAGAGAGCGAAAAAAAAGAAGAGAGAGAGAGAGACAGAGAGAGAGAGAGAGAGAGAGAGAGAGAGAGAGAAGAAGAAGAACAAGCAAGGGCCAAACACACGAAAACCGAAAAAAAATTAAACAAGCAAAAGAGAGGCGAGAATAATGAGAAGTAGATATTTTTAAGTGCTTGTCATTTCCTTCGTTTGTTTCCACATTCAGACATTTTCACATATATTAACGGGGCTCCCAAACGATATATGCGTATCACACATTCATTACTATTGGCTGATTTCAAACGCTCCAAAATTCCGCGCAAATGTGTAAATTTGTCTGAATGTGCTTGTGCATGCAATCGGCTGGTCGATCGATCGATCGCAAATGCGGTAAAATAATGCAAATAATACTCCAGAAATAGTGAGGTTTTTTGTTGTTGTTGTTGTTGCCTTTGCCACTGCCGCCACTTTTCTCTGGCCGGGCAATTTTTTCTCGTTCGAAATGGGCTCAGACAGGCAAACGAAAAAGTCAAGCGCACACAGAGAGCAGTATTATGGGCTACAAATTGCGGTAGTTAACGTTTACTTGCAGAAATTGGGTGTATTTGAACGAATGAATGAAACGAAAAGGAGAAAAAAAAACCATCGCCAAACATAGCAAACGGTATTGTGTGATGGTTTGCAGCCAAGTGGAACCAAATGAAATCGTGCGTTTCACTATTTCGGATATAGAGTAACTGAAACCGACTGATAATGGTATCAACAGAAATAATGCTGTTCGAACAAAAAATTTCCCTGTATTTTTTTCTGCGCTTTTTTCCCTCCTTCTCAGTTGTTATTAATTTCGGTGGACGTTGGTTTTTTTTTTATTTCGTACTTACAGCTTCAGTGACCATTCGTTACTGTTCAAATATTGTGTGCCGGAGAAACAGCGGCAAAATGAAAAAAAAATGAAAGGCAAACCGATTACTCTACTCATTTCAGAGATATGCGCAATTCATCAATTGTTATAAATGCCTCAAATGCATTGCATCTTAAGCAACTCGGAACAGAAACAAAAAAGAAGCAAACAAAACGAACAAAAGAAAGAAGAAAAAAAACGGCATGGAAAACTATAGCTAAGTTTCCAATCCAAATGTAAAATATATATATTAAAACGAAAAATAGACATTGAAATATCGTATCAATAGGCTATTGAATGGGGTTTTGTGTACGTGCTCTGAAGCTAAAGCAACAACAGCAACAGCCAAATGCTATTCATCGAATGAATGTTAAATGCTTAAGTGCATTCTTATATATAAATATTGCCTAACACCGAACCGATTTGATTACTTCCTTTGAATCATTTGTCGCTGTCGCCTGCCTGATTTTTGTATGCATCTAAAATCACCCATCTTTTGATAAGACATTTATCGAATGCGAGAAACCGAACGCGAGAGACGGAAAGAGAGGGAAATTCATTCGGAAAATATTTAGATGCAACTAAAAAGACACACCGACATTCTTCTAAAGCTCACTATTCAAGTCGTTCTTTATTCATCTCCTGCATTATACATACATATAAATAAATTTGTTATTGGTTGAATGCGCTGTGGTTTCGTTGTACTTTGGCAAAACAAAGGCGCACGAAGGAACGTCGATGCGAAAATGCATTTTTGTTGGCATTTCGAAAATCCTGCAATACGAAAATGTCGTTTGTAATTAATTTGGTATGTGTATACAAACTAACTCTATATATGAGACAAATAAAGAAAGAAAACGTGTACGAGAAAAAAAAGGATTGTCATCTCTTCGATGCGCGGTGTTTTGTTACTTGTGTCACTCATACGCAGTTTCATTTATTTGTGCGCAATTTGCCGAACAAAAATGATTCGTTCGTTTCGATTTTTTTTTTTGCTTTCTTTCTTCATTTTCAAAACAACGCGCGTGATTGCACTTCGACAGGAAGACGAAATCAGAAAATGAAACACAGAGAATGAAAAAAAAACTAAACAAAACAAAATATACACACACAACACATATTGTTTGCGCGTCGTTTTCCAATGTTCTTCAATTGAATGCCACTTAAATAATGAATTTATAAATATCATGAACGGCTATGAAAACTATGGTTATTAACTACTTCACTGGCATGAATCATAACCCAGCAGAGAGATAAAGAGACACAAAAAACGCGCGCGCGTTCATTCGCAATCCGAAGCCAAGTGCTGTTTATTTATTGTCCTTGTGTTGTTGCTATTTTTTTGCGTTTCTTCGCAACTGGTCAACAACAATAAAGCCACAAATAATCTTCGCAAGGTGTTGAGAAATACGTGTTCTTTCGATATTGTTGCTGTTGTTGTTGGACAAAATGTATTAGCAGTTGAAACATGTAAATTAGTTGCTTCATATCCATTATAAGGTCTATTGTTTGGCTTCACTTGCGTAGTATGTCTTTCACGTCAATCGAAAAACTATTGATTTTATCGAATGGTCGGCATCGATTGACACAATGGAGACGACTCATTTTCACACTCAATTCGCTGGATCATTGATGTGATTTCCAGCAGCCAGCAACAACGGAACGCTAAGCAACGGAAATGAAATGATTTTGTACCGAAAAAAAGAGAAATACGTTAACTTAAGTTGAACGAGGTTAAATTACTTGTCTCAAGCTTTCTCAATTACAAGCCTTTTTTTCTGTTGCCATCGCCACTGTCGCCGCTGCTACTGTAGTTGCTGTTGTTATTGTTTATAAAAAGGAAAATGTCACAGCATATGCTGTGTGATTTTATTGTGTGGGAACCAAACAAAAGGGTCCGCATAAAATTGTCTCTTGTGTGACATTTGCGCAACACCCAAACCAAAATAGATGTATGCACAGAAATAGGATCAAGTTCCTGTCAACCATAAAGACACAATCCATACACACTCACACATGTATGGACAGTCACGAGCATTAATATTTTGTGTGCGAGACTGCCGCCTTACGAATCAATAATTTTATAAATAGTCGAAGTATAAAAATACGAACAATGTAGTACGAAAAAGCTTCCTCTCTCTCACACTCACACTCGGTCGTCCTCAGCCGCACTCCTATCTCTTTGATTGAATTGGTCAGTGACATGAGCTTTTTTCTTCTTTCTCAATCTTGCAGCGCGGTAATGAGCTATAATGGAGCGGTACAACTGCAAGGCATTTGCGCCACATTGGATGTCGCACGTGTGTTTTTCGTTAACTCTTCTCTCGCATTCAATTAGTCCGTTCGATTGTCGCCTTCTCGCACATGGCGACGACGACGACGGCGGCGGCAACGACATCAATTTAACTATATCGTCACTGTATGGTGTATGGCCACAGGCATCAGCAGCAGCAGTATTAGTAACAGTAGCTGTACACCGCTTTTGAAATGGCTCATCTGAAAACATATGTTTCGATGTCAGTTTTACTACTTGAGCTCTCATTTTCACGCTTTTTCGCTATTCAGAAGTCGGTCTTCTACCTCTTCTTCTTCTTTTTCTTCTTCACTTCCTACGGAATATGTTCTAAATTTAGCGGCAAACTGTCGACAGAACTCGCGACCTTCGCCAATAAATATTTTCTAAGAAAAATGTTTATTCTTAAAATCGATGATAAATTGAAATGGCCATTTCCAAGTGATTTGTGGATCAAGGGGCCTCCATTTCAATGGTTACGATTGCAAGTGGGTTACGTTGACAATTCGATCGAGAAACTGATTTGTTGGCGGTCGCATGATCAATGATACCTCGAGACAATTTATATTGCATCACATCATTATTGTTGCCGTCGTCGTTGCTACACTGCGTAGGTCGAAATTCGATTTCAATCGATTTTTATCTATATTCCAATTTGCTTCTTTTTGCAAAACTTAGAGGGAAAAAGAACATAATACACATGCATATTTGTCACCGTTAACTGTTGTTACATGTGCGCTCAACCCGTCAACCGTATTTTCTTCTTCTCGTCTCGCATTATTGCCTTTCTCACTCTTTCTTGAGAACAGCGTTTCGCATTGTTCTTTCTTTGGCGTTCTTTTTTTTCGCATTTCGAACGTTGAAAATTTTTCGTGTGTGATTTTGCTAACGCTAGGCACACTTGAATGCTTGCTTATTTTAAGTGTGAAACGGAAACACGACATCGACTTACTGACACACTTCTTTTCAGTTTTGTGGATTGTGTGGCGTATAAAATCAGGGTAGACAAGACAAAGCTTATTATTTATCATTGTTTTGCAAAACGGTAAAACACAACAACATTCGACGACGATGACGACGACGTCGTCGTCAACAACGAGCTTGATAATTCTGCTCGTCACTTTGACGAGCAAGAAAATGTAACGGGTCAGTTCAAATTTCATTGATACGCCGAAATTCAAATCAATGTGATTGATCTCGGCTTCCAAAAAGCGTGTTTCAATTTGCTGAGACTTCACAAGTCTAGCCAGCTACCGAAAATGGAAATGAAAACCATCAGCGGCGCGTTGCGTATTATGGAAAGGATTCTCTCATTGATAACTCATTCTGTCAGCACGACATTCGATGCAATCATGTTTTTCATTACTTAGCATTTTAAGACGTCTATTCATGGCATTAAAAATTGAAAAAAAAATTGTATTTGTTTTCTGATTACAGGGCTGTGACGGATCCTCGCGATGGACGACGGGTCGCACTGAAAAAACTACCAAACGTGTTTCAATCGCTGGTATCATCGAAACGAGTATTTCGTGAACTGAAAATGCTATGCTTTTTCAAACACGAGAACGTAAGTGGAAAAATGATGGAAAACCCGTCTTCATTAAAAATAGTTCAGAGACACGCAAATGTGTCATAAAAAAAATTGCAGTAGCATATTAAAACCATACAACGGGGCCCAGAAACGCGTAGTTATGTTTTGTGTGCTGCCACAAGTAACTACGCGCCCCACGTAGTATCTTTTACGATCTATTACGTTTCCCAACAAAAATGAAAAATATCTTCAGTTGTTTTATGATTTCCTGTAAATGTTTTTTAATAATAATTTCGCATTTTTTTCAAATGTTTTTTTTTCAAATTCCTTTTTCAATGAACATTATTTGAATCTAAAACTCGTTAAGATAAGTTCTATGACTTTTTACCACTTTTCCGTTCAATGATTCCTGGATTTTTCAATTTGTTTTCTCACGCCATTGTAAATTCTACTCAAACTAGGCCATTAAAACCCATGTCTAGAAACTTCATTTTCTATATAAAAATTATCCAAATAAATTGAATGAAATGTTAAATGAATGTTCAATTTTACGTGATTTTACATTTAGCATTGCTACACAGCATGTTTTGTTGATCTCCCAGTATATAACGTACTAGAATAAACTGATTGAAACTAGTACAATTAGCATTCGCCACCATTTTTATTCAATTATTTTTCATATTTTTGACATTTTGAACAATCAAAATAAAATTGAAGTGAGGTTTATTTTGTCACGAGTTGTTTTCCATAAACATATGTGCCGTAAAAATTAAAAATTAAACTTTGTCGAACAAATCCCAATCTGAATACATTCTACTGTTTACTGAAATAGAAGTTTTATTCCATGCTTCAAAGTCTGTACGGAAATATAAATAAACTGATTGAGTATACCATGACGCTCGATGCATTGTATTGTAAACTATACTTTACAAGTAAAAATGATCAATTTTCATCCAATTTACTTGGAATTTGGCATAGATAACTTTTGTGATACAAAAATAAAATTCCAATATCCAAATAGCAGTTATATCGGGAGAAAAGCATAGTTGCAGAATGAAATCTTCAATTTTTCACTGATTTTTGAAGGTGGACCAAAAAATTTGTTTGGGAAGTAGTCAAATAGATTGTCCGATTGTATTGGAATTGTATCTGGCAACTGTCGTGAGTAAAGAAAAGTTCCGCATTTGGTAGCGATTTTCGAAGAAGTTCTGTCTTTTTTGAGCCCATTTCTATTCATTGATTCCTGGATTTTTCATTTACTCATTTCACTTCAATCTCGACTCTATCCAAACAAGGCCATCAAAACCAATATATATTGGCACTTGATTTTCCTTGTAGTTCTTTGTAAAATGATTGTTATCATCTCTACAAAGAAGGAAAATCAACTGAATTTGAAGTGAAATGAGTGAACGAAAAATCCAGGAATCAATGAATCGAAACGAGCTCAAAAATAATAGAAGACATTTGGAGATTGCTACCAAACTCTCAGATCTTCATTTCTTTGCTCATGGCAGTAGCCAAGAGCAATTCCAACACAATCGGATAAGCTATTCAAGTCCAGTATAAGAGAAAAATTGAGGAAACTGTCCATTGAAAAATCAGAAATTCTACCTTGTAAAGTATAGTTTACATGTGCAGAATGTGTACTACATAGTGAACTTCAGATGCATAGTATATAATACAGCGTATGTATCAAGGCATTGCACTTGTTACGCATATATTTTACACTACCACTATAAACGTCAGCGATCAACATCAACAGAGACACTATAGCACATAGCATTAAACGCACTATTGCTTCACTCTTTGTACACACTTTGACATCACTTATGGTTTGGCGCGCGTCGTACGTTTTTCAAACGTTTATGTTTGATTCAAGTATTTCACCGATTTCACCGAATTTTCGTACTCAATATCAATATATTCATTTTTACTTGGAAGTTTTTTTTTATTGCAATGATGTTTTAAAATATATTTTGTCGAGAAATATTTTTTTTCCAATTTCCAAAATTAAATGAAATTAAAACACATAGCATGAAACGTATTCATAGTAGAAATGCATATGTATTAGTTTGTACTTATTCATTATAATGTATTTGGATAGGACGCTAGCGCGGCCTGATTTTACACATTAAAAACAAGAATTTGCCATTTTCCATAATTATTTTCCCTCAAATTCCACTTTGTAAAGTATAGTTTACATGTGTAGAATATGTGCTACTAAAATCAAATATATACACGGTACATGACGACATAATATTTTTAAAATCAAATTTGAATTATACGCTATCGAATCAAACTTTCAATGCGTGTAATTGAAATTTGAACTTGAAAATTGTTGTGTTGTCTTGTTCCGTGTATAGAACTGAATTTCACTATGTAGCACAAATGCTAAAAAAGTGCTGTACTTTGCAAAGTAGAATTTCCAAGGTAGAATTTGTAGTACTAGATCCGCTGTCAAAGTATACTTGCGTTCACTACGTTGGGCGCGTAGTATACGTTTGAAGTTTCGTTTCCACGCCCCGCCATACAACACTGACGACGACGATGATGATGAGGACGATGTATGTGTATGTGGCCATTGTTTGAGCGCAGGAACGAGCGAAAAAGAGTGACAGAGAAAAAGAGGAAAGTAAATTGTGCTTGCGGTCATTCATGTATAGCCATGCCATTTAACATAGCTCATATGGCTTTTAGACTCGCAGGCATCTGATATCATACACACAAAACGTTTGAAAAGCACACTCATATGCGATTGACACGTGATTCGGTGCTGCAAGAATTTGCTCGAAATAGAAGAATTCCATCACATCGAATAAACGCACACAACGAGTCACTTCGTTTGACCAGAATAGGATTTTAAGTGCATTTGGGTCCAGCTTCAATTACGTCTGTCTCTCTCTCTCTCTCTCTCTCTCGCTCTCCCTATAGCTCGCTCGTACATCAAATTCCGAACAGAAACGAAAAACACACTCAGTGTCCAAATGATTGGTTGATTATTTGCCGTCACGTTGTTTCTTCGCGAGCAAATTAACGCCATAATATTTTCACAATGCAAAGCACACCCAAACGTGGATTATGCGCAAAATAGTCAAAAGGCCATCATCAGCTCGACACTTGTTTATTTATTTTGTTTTTACTTCTGCTTCTCATTCTTTTTGTACCGTTCGGAGGGTTTTTTTGTCATGCGAATCATTTGTAATGCGTGTAGTCTCTCTCTCTAGCAATCGTTAACTCATTCAACCCAAATCCCAAAAATAAATGAAGCTTTAATGAGTACGATCATTTAATTTTCGTTCACATTCTCTTCGTGGTGTTCTGAGTGTTCTGTTTCTGTTTTTTTCTGTTTTTTTTCTGTTTTTCATATGCTTTACAGATCACTGATATGATCTTGCACCGCACTCTTCCCGTCTATTTCGTTCGCTTTTCCGCATTCTAAGTGGCGTTCGAAGAATCTAGTGCAATTACATTACATATTACCACCAAAAATAGATTCGATCGCGCAAAAATTACTTGTGCTCATTTGTTTTTTTTTCTGTTTCACCCAAATTTCGTGATTCCACATGTTGCACTTGTTTGGACGCACTGCAAACGTGTCAAAATGAAATAAGAGAAAGAGAAAAAGCAACATTCATTCAACCTATTTATGAATCGTATTTCAAAATGACTTTCTCGAAATTAACTCCAATCAAATAACAAGTAGTATCCCTGCACACGTACCGAAGCGTTCAGTTCAACTGATTCTTCATCATCGTTGTTATTGTTGTTGTTTTTTTTTCTCACTGTATTTATAAATCGTCTAGCATTGGCCAGCAGCATTTGTTTGACAAATTGATACAGCCAAAGGCCATCAACGCATTAAACTCAGACGATAAATTGCACCGATGACAATTTTCATGAACGCTCTATACTTACTGATTATTCTTCATTTTTTACAGGTTCTTTCAGCTCTTGATATTCTACAGCCACCTCATCTGGACTTTTTCCAGGAAATGTATCCTTTTCAAAAACACACGAAAATCGCTCGTAATGAGCGCCGAAGATAACATTTTTTTTCTTCCTTTTTTTTCAAACAAATTTATTCAATAGATTTTCTTTCTGAATGGATTGATTTTCCTCAATGATTAAACGTAATTCTCTGTATTTTTGAATGAAACAGTTATGTGATAACTGAATTACTTCAGTCAGATTTACACAAAATTATTGTGTCACCTCAACATTTGTCCGCCGATCACATCAAAGTATTTCTGTATCAAATTCTGCGAGGGCTCAAATATTTGCATTCGGCGCGAATACTTCACAGAGACATCAAACCAGGCAATTTGCTGGTCAATAGTAATTGCGTGTTGAAGGTAATTAACATTGATTGAGAAAAGTTGGTTGAAAACTAATGGTCTGACGATGAAATGATTCTTTTCATAGATATGTGACTTTGGTTTGGCCCGAGTTGAAGAGCCGGATCAATCAAAACACATGACTCAGGAAGTAGTCACCCAATATTACCGAAGCCCAGAAATTTTGATGGGCTCAAGACACTATTCGGCATCGGTGGATGTATGGTCCGTGGGATGTATATTTGGCGAATTATTGGGTCGACGAATTTTATTCCAAGCGCAAAGTCCGGTACAACAATTGGAGCTAATCACTGAGCTGCTCGGTACACCGTCACTAGAAGATATGCGACACGCTTGCGAAGGTGCCCGATCCCATATGCTACGACGTGTACCAAAACCACCCTCCCTATCAGCTCTCTACACACTCAGTTCACATGCAACACACGAAGCCGTTCATCTTTTGTGTCAAATGTTGGTGTTTGACCCGGTATGTATATTGAAAGCTTTGGATTATCAGGGAAAAAACCATGAAAATGAATTGAAATCGAGGGAGTAAAGACCATTCCACCGACATCTAATGTTTTGAATATATTGAAATGCAGGACAAGAGAATATCGGTTATTGATGCGTTGGCGCACCCGTATCTCGATGAAGGACGTTTACGATACCATTCCTGTATGTGTAAATGTTGTTTCACCACAACATCAGGACTGCGACAATATACAAATGACTTTGAGCCAGCAGCTGCCCAGCCATTTGACGATTTGTGGGAACGGAAACTCACATCAACGCAACAAGTCAAAGGTAAATTTGCTGCTTTACAATTTTGCATTCATAAAAATTGCGTGCCGTTTCTGTTTGCGTGATTCAAAAACCACCATTTACTTCGTAATGTATGTTATCCTGTTAAAAAAAAAGTCAAAGATCATTATCGCTCACGCACACACACACTCCCCGCAATTTGCTCCCTTTTTTTCTTGTTAATAAAATTGAATCGTTTATTTATTTGCACAAAATAAAATTTCAATGCAAAACCGAATTTTAAAAAGAAGTCCTGAAATATGAGCAATTTGTCGGCACTTGGACGATATTTCGAGGCAATAATGCAATCTATATGGCTTTTAAGCCATTTTAATGAAATTTCCCATGAAACTATAGCAAATCAATTTAATTTATTTTTCTGCATTGACATTACAGAGGAAATGCATAAGTTCATTGCCGAGCAGTTACAAACTGGTCGTGTACCACTTTGCATAAATCCCCAAAGTGCTGCGTTTAAAAGTTTTGCCAGGTAATTTTAATTTCATAAATTGTATTGTATCTATGCCAAAACAAAAATGGTAATGTTTTTCACAAAAACTAATTTTTTTTAACTGTCATCACGAAAAAAAAAAAAACAAAACTACTTTTTCTCATCTTAGTAAATTCTTAATTTTTTGATGAAACCAATTTTAATATTAACGATTTAAAAAAAGAGAGAAAAAATATTGAATTTTTGCTCGTTTGAACTTGATTTAACGCTCGACGCTAATTCTTTTTTTAATGAGAAAAAAAAACAAACAAATCTTAACCAAATCAAATTAAACCAGAATTTGCATAAAATATTTAAATGTCACCTTTCATTCAATATGTTATAGAGATGAAGTGTTCAAATGTTGATCAACCGAATCTGAAAGCATCAGCCCAAACGCATTCCGAAAATCGATCCGTGAAAACAAAAACTCATAAATGAAAACAAAAATCGAACGAATATCACTAAACACAGCATCATTGTGGCTGTTTGTGTCTGTGTGTGTTTGAAATTCAATCATTTCGCAGTCAAAAGATCAATCTAATCAATAAAAACGAACGAAAAAAAACATGAAATGAAACTGAATTGAAACCCAAATATGAAACAAACGAAGAAAGAAAGAAAGAAAGAAAAACACACACATGTTTAACTAATTGACACACAAAAATTAGATTTATTCTTCAATCAACGTTCGACAAGCAACCAACTTCACCAGGCGCCTAGGTGTGTCTTGAACCGTTTCTTTTTTTATAATTTTACTCTAATCACACCCCTTTCGGTATATTTTCTTTTATTTTTCCAATGGCCATTTATTTTTTTTACCTTAACAACAACCAAATAAACCACCATTTATTTCATTCGATCTATTTTGAATATAATTTCATGCGATCTCCTTAAATAATTTACTTTTGTTATCTTTCGTTCTCGTGAATATACAATGTTTGAAGAAAATAACCCCGAGTATTCGTGTAATCTGAACACGAAGCATTCGTTGTTAGACCCCTTTCTTTAACCAAAAACAAAAATCCGATCATTTCTTTGTGTGTATATGTAATTTCGATAGAGCCTTTTGTTTTATGTGCATTTTATGTTGCTCTCTGCTATTCATTTTTTTTCCATTTTCCACACACTCACAACTCATTTGAAATGAGAAAAAAAACTAACTTTCTCCAAATTGTATGTTCTTCCAAAAAAAAAAGTGAGTGAGGAATTTTCTTTCGTTCTAGGATTAAACTTCTTTTTTCTCTTGTCAATTAAGAAAAAAAACAGTGAATTGCCATAGGCCATGTACATATCTACACAAACGGAAAATATTCCTAATTTTTATGCACTATTTTTTCCTGCTTTCGGAAAGGACCTTATAATTCTGGCATTTTTGTTCATAAATCCAATTTCAATATTAAGAAATAATCCCATTTTGAATTTAAGACATTTTTTCCCTTGGAAATATTTTACCAATAACATTTTCTTAAAATTTATTCAATTTTTTTTTCTAACAAAACAAAGCTTAAAAAGGGTTTTGGTCTTGAAAGAAAAAAACAACAATCAATTTCATAATGATTTCTATTTACTCATCGAATAAAACGAAAAAAAAAATTATAGCTATTATGTTTAGAAATGTATTGTGTAATGTTCTGATTTATAAGCAAAATGTTAGAAATATTTTGTCCTTTGCATTTCAAAATTGGCACGAAATTCTTTTTCGAAATTGCATTCAAACATTTCGTGGGAAGAAACCTATGTTTTCGAAATACAAGGCGACAAGATTTTAGACTGGCTGAATTCAGAGCATTAAAGTTGCTGGCTATGTAGTGCTGCTGGTGAACAGATCTGTTTAACAGCAGCGATTGGTTGCGTGCATATTCGCTGTGACGCACGTTCGTTCATCTCCCGATTCTCACACACAGTGTTTGTCTCTTGCATTCACACGGAAAGAGAAAGAGAAGCACATACAACACACGAGATACATCGTAAGCGACGCGCGCGTGCATGCACACACATAGCTGCCATTCGTGTCTCATGTGTTTTATACGCTTCTCTTTCTGTTTCTGTGTGAATGCAAGAGACAAACCAGTCCAACGAACGCGCGTCACAGCGAATATGCACGCAACCAATGGCTGATGTTAAACAGATCTGTTCACCAGCAGCACTACATAGCCAGCAACTTCAATGCTTTGGCTGAATTTGCTTTTGATGTGAATGATAGCATTTCATTCTCAATCTCTCGTTCACTTTTTTCTGTCCAGAATGTGAGAATAATGCCATTTTTTATGTGACCCGTAACAGTCTTCTAAACAGAATAAGATAACAATGGCGTTGACGTGTTTTTTTGCGCTTTATGAATTAGGAACCGTCCAATACATACCTATACACACAATATCAATCCAAATGTTTGAGTTTTTCTGTTTTTTGTCGCAAATAGTCGGTTTACATCGAGTTCGATTTACCATTTCCACTATGGCCACTAGGTAACACAGACAATCTAGGTGCAAAATTTCCCAAGAAAACCAAAACTGCTTGAAATTTTTCAATGCGGTCGATTTATTGTTTCAAATGTCATTATTTATTTTTGGACATTTGGTCCATTTCCAAATCCATCATATTTCTGTTCTGTTCCGTTCTGTTTTACTTTTTGAACAATGAAAAAAAGAGCGTCCAGCTGGCCCATAAGAATTATTAAGAGAGAACTTAGTAGTTAGTTAATAACCAAACCAAGAAAAGAAAAAATGAGAAAAAAACTAGTCACATATTCGTTTTTGTGTTAAAAAATTCCTTTTTGCACGTGTGTATTTGACAAACATTAAACTTAACACTTGCGTTTTAGTGGTAGTTAGTAGCAGTAGATTTTGATGTAGTCGTTGATAACATTGTTTTGCATAATTATTACATTGAATCGTACTTACCCATAAAAGTCGTTGTCAAAATCCATAATGGAAGCTCACATTGGCTCACACATCATGAGCATCATAAGAAAAAAAAATATGTATACCGTAATCAAACGATACAATAAAAAAAATCATCATCATCAAATAGTTGCTCGTAAATATTCGTAATTTTTTTTTTAAATTTAACTTTTTGTTGTTATTGTTATTGTTGTTCTTGTCATTTTTTTACGAAATTTCTGTAATTTTTTTTTTCTATTATTTTTTTTCCAAATTTTCCTGATTTTCTTTTGCAGAACCAAACAAAATGATTGTTGTTTTGGTAAGCCATCGTCGGCACCCTTTATGAAGATGGCATTAAAAATTCTATTAGTTCCGGTTGTTTTTCTGTACGCCGCGTAATTCACGTATAGCAAATCTAAGCAATGAAAATGAAACAAACAAAAAAACGAATTCAATTTTTGAATGCCTCTCTTCCTACATCTCCCAAGCAAAAGAACAGAACGAAAAACAAAATGCATAAAAAAAGTCAAAAGAAAAAAATCAATCAGAAAATTGTATTTAGGAATGAATGTGTGTGTGTGTCCGTTTTCCATTCGTTCGCCTGTGCTTCGCACGATCACAGGTACAGGTCAGTTTGCTATATTTTGTTTGTACCGTAATTAAGTTTGAAGTTTAAAAACCAAAATCATTCATTTCAATTACATCATGTAGTGTGAGAAATTGAAGCAAAAATTAGAGACAATTAGAAGAAGAGCTCAATTCATATATGTGCCTGTCAATTCATTCTATGAACCAGATTGAAAAAGCAAAAATTACAGTTAATTTAAAAGAAAATAACCAAAAAGCATATCTATATATCTTGTAAACTTGTACATATATACCTATATATATTTCCTGTAGCATGTCGCTAACTTATTTTTATTGAAGCAAGCATTTCCAAACATCCAAAATTAATATAAATGCTTGATAATCGCTTCTTTTTTTTCTTAATACGATTGGAGTAAATAGTAAAATCACAAAATTTTTATCTCTTTTAATTTTTTTTTTTATATATTTCTACACATGCTTTTTTTCCTTTTACAATTTTTCGTTGTTTGAATTCATTTGTACACAATTCATATATACGTAGAAACTGATCGAAATTAAATTTTACTTCAAGAATTGATTTCCGCAGCAACTCATTCTAATGAATTGTTCTTCTTCTATTTTTTTTGTCTTTTTTTCCGTAATTTCGGATGTAAACAGTTCGAATGTTGCACATCCTTCAGAGCTACCGCCGTCGCCACACCAATGGGAATGACAGCATTACAATCAAGCACAAGCCGCCTAGAAGTAAACAACCACTTCCCCGTTCAATGTATACACAGTCTTGAAGTGAACAATGGAAACACCTCGATCGAAACATCATCAAAAAAGATATACACATACACACACAGACACACACCAACATATATTTCAAGTGTGACAAGCAAATGAACAAAAAAAAATGAAAAACAAACAATTGTTTGAAGTAAACTATAGAAACATCGACTCCAAAGCCATCAAAAAGAAAATTCACCGTAGATTATCATCGAGAGAGGAAGAGATAAAGAAATTTTGGAGCGATCAAATTTTGCTGCACCAAAGTACATAAGGAGAGAACATATTCACCAGTAGTTACGAGAAAAGGAATGAAAAACCAAACAAACAATTTACGCTACATATGCTTAAAATCAGCACTGACTTATCTATTGATTGTAGTTCGAGTAGTTTGAGTGTAGCAAGCATATTGTGTACCAATAACTCTGGCAATAGCTCTGGCTTCTCCTCGACGGCAAACAAATTTTTCCGTTGTTATCATAGAAACCAAGAGAAGCTCCTCTCAGCCAGAGTAAAAAAAAGGAAAAAAAGACAAAAGAAAGGAAAAAAACGAGATGTGTTTGTGTTTGAATGAGTCATTCTAAGGAGCTAACAAAATTGAAAGAATAAAACAAAGGATGAAAATAAAAAAAATAAAAAATTCAGAGAAAGCAATGTAAACCGTGATGGAATCTAGAAATCATATTCATGATTTTTTTTATATATGTATAAATAGATTTGTGCACTCATTCAGTAATGGACCGCAATCAAAAGAACAATTTTTTTTGTTTAGTTTTTCGAATGGATTTTTTCTCTTCTTTTTTGAGTATGTGTATCAAAAAACACACACACACAAAACGGTAAACCAAAATGTAAACACGCAAAATGAGACAAATGATTAAAATAACAAAATAAAAACAGCCTTAAGACCGCACGCGCATCAACAAACCACAAATAGTTTGCTGACATTCAGGCAACAGAACTGAACCAATCCACTGCCCAAAATAGCTGACAAACATAAACGGATATACTAACAATATTTTGCATACACAAAAGAAAAAAACACATAAACATAGGTGCATAGATGAAAACGTTAAGAAGCAATACTGAAACCTAAAGATTTCAAATAAAAATCGCAGCGGAACATAAACCATGTACACGTTTCTCTCTCTCTCTCTCTCCTTTTTTTCTGCATAACACAGTGTGTTATTAACACACATATTTCTCTTGTATTGATTGTGTATGCTTTCTGTCCATTTCTCACATTCCTGTTGGAATATAAAAAATAACAGCAGAAAACTAACAAATGATTCAAACGGAACGAAACTTGAAGAGAGAAGGCAACAAAATAGCACCCGAAATTTTTTTCATAGAATTTTTACATTTTTTCACATAACACGCACTCGTCTTTCCACAACACTTTTCGGTTGCAACCAATTTGACATTTGAATGATTTTCAAGGCTTTTGTTATAATGGACGAACAGTTGAAACAAAAATAACATGAAATAATGTTTGTAAATTTATCTCGTACCTAAAAATGGCGTGTCTTAACCAATATAGAAAGTGTTTTATTTTTATGAACCAGAAAAAAAGAAAAACAAACTTTTGCTTGTAATCCCCAACAGTACATAGACTATATGTGTGTATCAATTCATTTTAGCAAGCATTCTGAGCGAAAGAAAATGACGCATCATTTCACGCAAACGAAGAGAAGAAAATGAATAAAACACAGTAACAAAATATTTGCAACAACAACAGAAAAATTTAATGTGCTTAAAATTTAAATATATTTTTCAAAAGTGAAACAAGCGAAAAAATTTCAACTAGAAAAGAACACACACAATACAAAATGACTAGAACCACAAAAATAAAAACAAAATTAGTAGTTGATGAATGGCTATCTCAAGTTATAATATACCATTTTGATGTATTGCACTTTAAGCATTACGGTTTGATTTCATTTTGTCAGTAGCTCTACTCTTGATTGATACGACACGACACATTGTTATTCCGAGATATATGCGACAACAAGAAGGAGATGAAGAAAAAAAAAGAACATTAAAACATTCAACAATTTTTTCCTTATCAAATTCGATATTTACACATTTTACAAGATTTTTTCACAACAGAGCAAATAAACAAACAACCTGATCAATGATAACGTAGAAAAGCATATTAATTAAAAGAAAAAGAGATAAACGTAAAAAAAACAAGTAATTAATACACAAAAAAATTGTAATTTGTTGAACTTATAAATGTGCTGTAACTGTGCATGCATTGTGTGTGTGTGTGTATTCATTCGGTAGTGTTTTCTTTTTTTATTTGGTAGATTGTAATTGTACATAAATTTCTAAAGTATACCAACTAAGCCACTTGATATGCACCTATTAATTTACCATTGTACACATATGAGGAAAAGTTGAAAAAAAGAAGAAAAAACAGCAGCAGCAACAGCAAAAAACATAATTATTACAAAACATTATAGATAAACATACAAGCGATTTAAAGAAATTTTGTCAAACGAACCGAAAACAAAACAACACATACACAGAGAGAAAATGGTAAACTTTTTGAAAACTCTTACATTCAGTTGGTGGAAATACAAGGAAAAACAAATCAAGGAAATATCCATAATTCACATTCAAACGATAAAAGATGAAGAAGAACAGAAGAAAATACACGAAAACGAAGACGAAATGAAGTGAAGATACCTCAGATTCCGTTTGTTTGCTTAATTTTTGAAGCTATGATATAAATTAATTATGATTAACTGGAACTTGTTGGGAAATGAACTATGAAAACACAGATTTTCCTTGAACTTGTTGTGTTCGATATCGAGTACCAAAATATGACTTCTTTTTATTAATTTTACACACATAAGAAGAACGCACACACACATTTACATCCTTACGCCTATGTTCATTCTAATTTTTATTTTCACTACCCCCAAATTTTTTTTTATTACTCTTTTTTTTCTCTGTCATAAGAACTGAAATTTATGTTTTTAAGTCAATTTATTGATAGCGTATTTCACTATGATGATAAGTCAACAGTTTAGGCGCATATTCTTTTCGTGTTAATCAATTGAACAGAGAAAAATATGTAAGGACTACCATGTATGGGATGATGGTGCGATGGCTATAGTTGAAAATCTGGTTTTGGCTGCGGTCAATGTTAACCAATTTGGGAGTGAAATGAAAAAAAAAAAATTTGTATAAGTATAGTGTAGACCATTCGTGAAAAGAGACTGAAAAATTGATGCCCTGCGAGGCAAACGCAACATATTGGATGGAAAACGATGACGACGATGATGGGAACAATCCCATTTAACCTAAATTCATATCATCTTGTAATTGGCCGCCATCTCGCGCATTTTCAATCATAACCGTCGCCCTGGAAGTTATATCTTTAGGATGATATGAACCATTGCGACAAACAAATTCCCTCAGAATATTTTAGTTTTAAAGTGCAACATAAAGTTTTTTCATATGGAGTTGATTTTGTAAACTATATATAAAAAAAATTTCATCTTGCACTTTGAAATTAAAATATTCTGAGGGAATTGCTTTGTCGCAACGGTTCATATACATACTGAACTGATCACAATAAATGAAAAGGGAATAAAGAACTTTTTTTAAAATGAAAGTAAACGAAAAGCAAAGAAAGGAACAAAATTCGTGAATCGAATTTCAGTTCAGTATTTGGATTGATTGAAGAATAGAAAAAAAGAAACAAAATCGATAATATTTCGTACCTGCCATTGGTCAAATTACTTCGGATATGGATTATTTTGATTCGATGCGGCGATAATTTGACACGGCAACACCATCGCCATCGTCGGCATCGATGACACACATAACATTTTTTTCTAGCTTTTTTTTAAGTGATAAATACTAGCTCTCATTTCTAATAAACAAAATTTAGAAATTCATCCTAAATTTTAGGCCTTTTACCTAATGTTTTTTTTCTTTCTCTCTCTCTTTTTTTAATTTAAATATGCGAAAAAAATGAAAATGACGAAAAAAATGATATGAATTTGATTGTAGTCAATGATAATAAAAACCAGAAATGATGGAAGATTTGTAGATTTTTGTTTCGTTTTTGTTGCCCATCATTTTCGGAATGACGAAAAATAAAACATAAATAATCACGGTTTTCTTTAGTATTATGCTTTTTGTGTGGTTCTGATGCAATAACGATTATACAATTTTTCTGTCATTTTGATTTTTATTGCATTTCATTAAAACAAAACAAAAAAAAAACTTTCACATAGATCTCAATCGACTGTAAATCTGATATAGCATAGTTAATATGGCACAGTGCATACCACGCCTCGCCTCACTCTCCCCCATTCTCGACACCCACATGCACACACAATTCCATGCATCTCTTTCTCCTTCTGCTAGCTCCCGTTCTACTCTATTTCATTCACTTTCATTAGGTGACACCTAGGGGGTAAAATTATTTTTTTCATCTTTTATATCCGCACGCATCTAGTAATAACTTAGAAATTCAATGGTATGCATGTAAATCCGAAATATCCATGTATATTCAACAATATTCATCGTGAACGACAAATGAATATTATTAAATATACATAGATATTTAAGATTGACGTGCATACCAGTAAATTAGTGCAGATTGTATAGTCAAAAAATGTTCCAATATTCACCGTAATCCACCAAAATCTGCCAAAATCCTTCAAAAGTGGTTCAAATTTTCGGTTGAAGGTTTGATTCACTATTATTTTTATTTTTTCAGAGTTAGTTGCGTTCTGCAAAATCGCGTGAAGCCCCCAGGGTGACACGCTCACTCATATGATCAACCCGAAAATGGTCGCTTATTGTGCTTTTTGCATGAAACAATGAAATAATGTGTACAATAAATAATTAACACAAAATCCTAGTGTTTTCAGTCTAGTGACCAGCAAATACATTTAACTCTTATTCATTTATTTCTTTTGTCCTGCCTTTAATTTAATTTTTTTTTAAATTTAGATTGTCTCTACCTAGATAAGTGGATAAAAGAAAAGAGAATTTAGACGCCCAATAAGATCAAATTGAAAAATTTCAAAAACAAGAAGGATAAAAAAAACACACACAACAAAAAATTCATGAATTCAAAATTGAAAAACGGAAATATTTTTGTTAGGAAAAGAAAGAATAAAAAAAATGATGGAAGAAAATTGAAAAGAAAACATTGATAATAAATCGGACAATTTGGTTTATGTTTAGGTACTTTCAATTTGCTTTATATTAAAATTACATAGAAAAGGAAAAGACTTGCTAATTACTATTTTTTATTTTATACCTTAGCAAAAAAAAAAAGAGAAAAATAATAGATGAAATTTTTTTTGGCGCTCAATTCAAATAATAATTGGATAAGTAAACGAAAAAAAAGAAAGAAAATCAACAACAACCAACTACAAATTAGTACAATGCAAAAAAAACACAATAAATGGAAATAACAATGGTCCTAGTTCCTTTCGATGAACGATTTGTTAGTAAAAAAACCATTTGAAAAAAAAAATGAAAAAAAAGAAGTGAAAAGTGTTTCCAATAAATGAACCGACAGCAAATCACAAATCAGCGCCAATTCAAAACTGCGCAATAGTTTTTTTTATAATTTCCAATAGGTTTTTACTTAAATATTTTGCACTTCAAATCCATAACAAATCATTAAGCAAAAAAGGTTTAATGGAAAGGAATGCTGTAAAACAACATTTAGATGAAGAAGAAAAATCACAATTTTTTGTAATGCAACAACATGTGAAAATATAACAAAAAAAAGTTCATTTTATTAGATGTTTGTAAATAGAAATCATAAGCAAAACAAAAAATAAAATAAAAAAATGAAATTCAAACAAAAGTAAAAAAAAAATCACGCATATTCTATTTTATTGGATTTATTTCATTTTCATTTGGCGCCATAGGTTCTGATTAGGGCACGGAGGTCACGTTTTACCCACCTCTCCGACCTCAATTGAGCATTTGCCCCCAACATCTTTTCGATTTTTGAATTGAGCCCACGGAGTTTGAATTCACATTTGAAAAAGTGCAAATTTCATGCTCCAGTGGATAAACTTTATTACTTTGATTTTTATGCTTTTCTTCAGATTTGTGTATTTAAGTACGAGTTTTCTGAATGAATGATATTCAGATACGAATAGTATACTAAAGAGAGCAGCTCGAGCACTCAAAATGCAGTATGCCTTCTACTTGTTTCAAGTGTTTGTTTATTTCATTCTGTTCAAAGTGATTGTAAAGTGGTCAAAAATGGAATTGATAAAATCGACCCAAAAAAGCCGGAAAAAATTATTTTATTGCCTTCACCAATGCTCCAACGTAAAGTTTCAGTGTCACTCATAAGTTTTTTCCCCCTTGAAATTCTCAAGCAAATTTTTTAAACTACTCCCAAATGTTTTCCATCTTTCGAAAAATTTTGCGAAGTTTTTCCGCTAATATCAGAACCTATGTTTGGCACACCTGACGCTCTTGACTTTTTTACCAGTCTTTGCAGTTTAGCGCTGCGAATGAAATATCGACTGAACCTTTTTTTTGGTATAAAATAGATTTAAAGTAAAAACGTTGTTTGTTTTCGCATTAGTACCATAGATGAGAACATATTATTTCTGCACTCGCATAGTACAGCAACTTTACTGCGTGCAACGAACACTCTTCACACAAATAAGTTGTTACATATATGTACTTGAATGGAGATCCTATGGATTCAACCAAAAGCAATGTTTAAATTTCAGGCGGTCAATTCGAAAGCGCCATCTCTGAGATTATTTTTGAGGTTACTTCGAATTTTCGAACATGACGATTCTCCTTCTTCTTCCCATAGGACATTTCACTCACATATTACATTGGGCCGGAGTTCAGAATACATCGACAATCATTCGTGTTTCGTCTCTGGTCGTGTGTAGACATAATAATAATAATAAGTATTCCAGTGCGGCTAAATATAATTTTGCGCCCAAACCGATTTCTCGTACGAGCAAAATTGAAAACATTCTCTCAAGCCAAAAACACATCGCTGTTTTAATGAAGAGAACACACTTCTTTAGTGTTTTGATATTGGTGTTCTTTTGCATAAAATGAAAAATTCTTCGAAAAGAAAAAACGTCGTTTTGTGAATATGAGCCCACCAAGAAAAAAAAAACAACCATCATTTCTTTCGAAATAAGGTAAATCAAATTACGAACTAAAAAAAAGTGCAAACATAAACAAATACCGCCGTCGTGCTCTAAATTGCAGTGCAAAAGTGTTTAATTGAAGACATTGTTCTATGTTTTTGTTACATTTGATGTTGGTTTTGTGTTGATTTTATAACTGTTTATTTTATTCGGGTGAGTTCGATTCAGCAGTTGCTACGATGTATTCAAATGTCGACATCAAATGCCTTATTGTTTTTTTTTCTTGCCAATCGAGATTCGTTGGGCGAGAATAAAAAGACAATCAACTTTTGAATTCACAATCAATTAGCGTGATTTAAGTGGCATTTTTTACAGTTTGAATACAATGTACTTACATTCAAAGCAAGCTGATTTTCGCCCGATATGACAAATGGCACTATGTGCAATGAACAATTATAGTTAATAGATTTGAATACCGCGCGTTCATTACGATAACGGCGAATCCGTGATTGTACGGTAAACAAAGTCAGTGTCGTTTCATCCGCTGCTTCATTAATCAGTTCAACAATT